TCGTAGCTGATTAACCTGCTGGCGCACTACTGACACAGTCCTTTAGCTCCCTGAGCTCCTTCGCAGCCGTAATCACGCTGCTTCCTGGTTGAATATAAACAGAGCACTTGGGTAGATGTTTTTCAAAATGGGGAAAAGGGCAGGAAGGAACACTGCGGTTTTATGTGATTGCGTCTCTTTCTTAGCCAGGTGTAATTTATTGTAATAGAGGCAAATATCTGAACTACGTGCTGGGTGGGTGTGAGGACAAGCAGAATATGATATGCACCCAATCACTTGGCTTTCCATGAAAGTGTGAGAATAAAGTTAACCTCACCAGTTAAATCACTTGAGACACTCCCACACCAGGCACATTTGCACAGTTATGAAATCATGTTAATTTACCATGATAGCTTCCCATTCCTTTTTTTGTCTCAAATACCACCTCTCTTGGGTACTGGCTGACGTCATGCTGTCATTTAAAAATTTTTACAGGCCTCTTCTTGTGCCTTGCAGAGTTTGAAGACAGACTTGTACTGTATGTCTCAATCCTCAGACGATTCTCAGCCTGACACATGCACAGTGGGAGAGGGTGTTAACGTGACATATAATACTACTTCTCACACTATACTCTCTGTTTAAAAGGTCTATTAAATATATATTCTCCTATACACCCCTAGAATATTTTAGGAGTTTTCATATGAAAACTATCTTTTTTTTTCATTCACAATCTATAGAGTTTCACAATGTGGCATGTCATTGGTACCGGGCAATATTAACCTCATAAGACGTTCATATGACTTCATATGATATCAGGCACTGTTTTGGTCACAAAATAGAGAAGATTTACTCCACATCAGAGGATCAACTAGAGTAACAAAAGACTGCCACAGGAGAGAGGCTGAAGTACAAATATTTGTGGTGTGGATATTAAAATGACACAGGAAAGGAAGAAAAAAATGCATAAAATCTTTAATTTGATCTATGGAAAGAAATATTGGTATGGATTATTGGCCAGTTTAGCTGTAAAATACTGACTAACATATCGAATATCAGACAAAATTCTTTAATTTTGTATCCCTTGTTATTTATAGGTGATGAGTTTGCAACCTCTTCATTGTTGTCTGTAAATTCTTGTTAAAAATCAAAAGTTAAAGAAGTGAGTAATGTGTAAAGACATTAATTTAAAGGTGGCATAAAGGTTAGCTAAATATAAATTCTTTATTTTCATTTCATATTCTGTTTTATTCAGTTAATTTTTTTATGTGTAGTAAAAAACGTGGTAGACTTGTTAGAAGGTTGCTGAGTCTGACCAACACGAAGGAGCCTGTTATGGTAAAGTGAAAAAGCACTTGAAAGAAATGTTACATTTATATAAGCTGAAAATCTGCATAGTGTGGTTTGCAATACCTTGTTGAACTGTTTGGTCCCTTTAGGGCTGCAAATCTTTTGAATTATATCCACAATATACAAAGTAGCTTACTTTTATTGCTTTACACTGTCACAAGTACAGAGCAAAGAAATTCAATCTCTGCATTTAACCATTCCCCTTGGGGAGCAGTGGGCTGCCATTGTGCGGTGCCCAGGATGCAGTATGGGGTTAAGGATCTTTCTCACAGACCCTTAGTGTAAGTCTGTGGCAGTTGGGCCCCAACTCAGAACCTCTTGATTCTAAGCGCAGTGCCCCAACCACTAGGCCGCCTCTCCCCTAAATTTGATTCAAACAAATTTTTTTCATAATTTAAGTTCAGGTCTGAACTTTTACTGGGCGGTCTAACACATAAATAAGCTTGAATCTATATGCAATTATTGATTCTGCTGTCGATGTTTGATGTTGTCCCACTTTAAGATGAACCTTAGTACAATTAACATTCTTTTGCAGCCTTTCTTACCGAGTAGCTCTTTACAGTAGTATGATGCTGCCTCCACCACCATGTGGTGTAGTTAAGCCTGCAGGTATGCTCAAAGTTGGCCCTCAAGGGCTCCTGTCCTGCAGGTTTTACAAGTTTCCCTGTTTTATCACAGCTTATTGCAGTTCAGCAAAAGCCTGTTAATCAGGTATCAGTGAAAATCAGCTGTGGTGAAGCAGGGAAACCTTTATAAATCTGCAGAACAGCGGCCCTGACTTTTGGCATGCCTGATTTAAAGTCAAGTACAATGTACGCTGTTTTTCCACATATTGTTTGCCTGTGGTTTAAAAACTAATTTTGGTCTTCTCAGATTTCTACCTGACTGCGAACAGACTTCCTTGTTACCATTATTATTTTTTATCTTAATGGGGCCAAGATTTATGGAGAGAATGACTAATTAGGTGACTTTTCACGATTGACTTCATGTAAGCTCTAATATTGCTCCACACATGGAAAAATGTAATCCAAGGTGAACTAACCTTCAACAAACAAAAGGTAGTTGTTATAGTGAATATAGTGAAGTTGATGGCACAACCATAGACATGTGATGAGGCAGTTCTCCTTTTCTGCTTATAATAAGGCAAAGAAAGTTGGCCAGCCATGGGCAAATTGCCTTAAAAGCCCAGGCTTTTAACCAGAAAAACAAATGAGAAGGGGCACAGAATCACATGAGCCGTGGGTGAAAAAGCTTTATTAACTGTATTCTGCAGTTACTGGTAAGAAATTACTGAATATAGTGCACAGGTAAGCTTTTGAAAATCTGAATCTTTTGATCACCTTTTTTAACCAGGCCTGTAAAATGACTGCTTAATAAAGTAAATATATATAAAACAGACAGACTGCAACACAACACAACACCGACAATGTCATGATGATGGGAAATTGAAGTTAATTGGTGTTACCTTTGCATACAAACTCAAACAAGCTGCTCATGAGGTCGATCGCTGTATTTTACATTTTTCCAGTCTTCTTTTAGGTTCTGAAGAACAAATTAGGTACACCTGTCCAACTGCTCGTTAACGCTTCATTTCTAAGCAGCCAATCGCATGGCGGCAAATTAGTGCATTTAGGCATGTAGACATGGTCAAGACAATCTCCTGCAGTTCAAACCGAGCATCAGTATGGGGAAGAAAGGTGATTTGAGTGACTTTGAACGTGGCATGATTGTTGGTGCCAGAAGGGCTGGTCTGAGTATTTCAGAAACTGCTGATCTACTGGGATTTTCACGCACAACCATCTCTAGGGTTTACAGAGAATGGTCCGAAAAAGAAAAAACATCCAGTGAGCGGCAGTTCTGTGGGCGGAAATGCCTTGTTGATGCCAGAGGTCAGAGGAGAATGGCCAGACTGGTTCGAGCTGATAGAAGGGCAACAGTGACTCCAATAACCACGCGTTACAACCAAGGTGGGCAGAAGAGCATCTCTGTGGTGGTGGTGTCATGTGTAGGGAATATTTTCTTGGCACTCTTTGGGCCCCTTGGTACCAGTTGAGCATCGTTGCAACGCCACAGCCTACCTGAGTATTGTTGCTGACCATGTCCATCCCTTTATGACCACAATGTACCCAACTTCTGATGGCTACTTTCAGCAGGATAATGCGCCATGTCATAAAGCTGGAATCATCTCAGACTGGTTTCTTGAACATGACAATGAGTTCACTGTACTCAAATGGCCTCCACAGTCACCAGATCTCAATCCAATAGAGCATCTTTGGGATGTGGAGGAACGGGAGATTCGCATCATGGATGTGCAGCCGACAAATCTGCGGCAACTGTGTGATGCCATCATGTCAATATGGACCAAACTCCCTGAGGAATGCTTCCAGCACCTTGTTGAATCTATGCCACGAAGAATTGAGGCAGTTCTGAAGGCAAAAGGGGGTCCAACCCGTTACTAGCATGGGGTACCTAATAAAGTGGCCGGTGAGTGTACATTGACATTCAATCCGTATACATTCAGAATTAGGATTAGATGTTTAATTCAGTTGGAAGATCTATAAGCCATGTTTGGTAATGATTACGTGTGAATAGCTCAATGCTTCAGTCATTTAAAAGTCATTTAAGATTTCAAAATCTTTTTTTCAAAGGAAATCATCTGTTCCTGCAGGCAAGAGGCACTGCACCTCAGTAAAAATTCCTATTTTCAGTCGATCAGTTGTTGACAACGGAACCTGATTGGTTGGTTGATTAACTGATTGATTGATTGATTGATTGATCAGTCGGCCGGTCGGTTGGTTGATAGGTGGCATCATATAAGTTGATTATATTGAGATTGATTTCGGGGATGTCAGACGAAACAAAGACAAGCCAGCCTTCGCAGGGTTTATTTGAAAAATCCCTTGAAAACGTTGTCCTCTTCTATTGATTGACTGTTTATGTGCCTCATCCCAAATCCCATAAAATATTTGTCGTTGAAATGTGAAAAATGTGGAAAAAATATAAAGGTTATAAATACATTTGCACGGCACTTTCACCATGTTAGCTGTGCTCTCAAGAGAACGTAGTAGTGCTTTTTTTTCTCTTTACCCCAAAAGGCCTCCCACTAAGTCCGTAATGATCTCATTTGTATGCATTGTCCTCTTGAAATCTTTGCCGCTGTGGGATCTCACCCCCAACGGGTCTGCCATACTTAGAATTACAACTTTGCTCCCTTAACATTGCCCTCCTTTCCTCACAAAGCTCCATCCCTTCAAATAGTCACACAAAATCATTTGCTGCCCACTTGAAATAGCAAAAGCAGATGGTGTCCAGTAGGAGAATTAGAGATAATTCTATAGCTGACTCAGTTTAATTGCACAGAAAACCAATAAAGCTGTTTTTTTTTCTTCAGTACTTCATTTATTGAATGTCATGTAAATTATTATGTATTTGCTGTGTTTAGTTTTTCTTGTCGATGATTTTTTGCTTTTATTTTATGCATATTGTGTGTGATCTTTAATATTGTTTTAAACAAATGTGAAGCTTGAAGTTCAACTAATTTTGGAAAAAAAAACTCATAAAGCTTTTATAAATCCTTCTAAACGCAGCTAAACCTCATCATAAACCACTGTATAAATGTTTGTTGTCTGTTGCCAACTGTTTCAAGCTGTTTGTTAAACTCTCGAACTCCAAAGGCAACAGCGACATTGAGCGCTATCAAATGGCAAATAAGAAAATCCCGTTCAAATATACCCGGCCAGTAGAGGATTGGCTTCAGGAGAAAGGTAAACCTTTATTTAACTTCCAGAATGTTATTTTATTTATTTTATTTTCTTTCAGTCATCTCATCGGCTTGCTCCCTTTCAACCTCTGAGAATGAGAAAATCATCCCTTAAATCCCTTAAAAATCTGTAAAATAAACCATATTTTTCTGTGATACCCCACCCCCCCTCTTTTTTTGCCATTGTCACCTTTTTTTGAACTTGTTCAATCATGGTGTCCAGTTAAAGGGACTGGGACAGGATGATGACTGGAATCAAACGTTTAAATTGACTGGAGGAGGCATTAGAAATGCAGCAACTGTCGGCTGATTGTGTGGAGAGGAAGCTTAACACTGACAGTGTTTTGAGAACAAACTAATCAGTGGACATATCCCTCCTGAAAACTTCCCTAACAGCAGGGGCTCCTCTCTACTGCAATTTATCTTCTTGTACTTATCACACCAAATGGAAATCCAACCTGTTTTGATGATGGAGAGATAATTGGAGCCTTTTTGACAGCCAAGTGTCACGGTGCGAGCGCCAAGGTGCACCGCCGCCTGAAAGAGCTGTTCTTATTAATCGCTTAGATTATCAAAGTCGGCCTCTCATCTGTCTTTAACTCACGTGTGGGCGGATTTAAGGAAGCCCGCTGCCCCACAGTACAACCTTCTCACTCTACGTAATACCATTATAAACTGCCTTTTTAAAATTCATTGCACATAAACGTCTTAACCTTTTCATAAAGTCCCTTTAACAACCGCTAAAACACTGACAGGTTTTGAAAAAAAAATCCCATTACTGCTGCATGCATGGCTCCACACGTGCTATTTCATTTTCTGTGATATGAACGCCCCGTCCCTGCCATTCCATACCTAATGTGTTCTGTGCTGTATAGCAAACAAAATGGAACAAGCTTGCAGTGTGGCTAATCTGTGAACTGCACAAATGTAATTATGATACTCGTTTTGTGGAACTTTTAAGCATTTCAGTTTCATAATTAATGCATGAGAGTGTTTTGACTGTGATATTTAGACGTTGCCTAATCAAACTCGCACGGCACATTAACATTCGCATTGTCTTTAGAATATGCGAAAGCTTGTATATGTGTTTATTCATCATTTCCCTGCACAGCGTCCACTGTTCAGTTCAGAACATAAGAACACTTTCCAGCTCATTTTCTTTAGATATTACTTTCGAATTTGCATATGCTCTATTTAAAGTGTTTTTTATAGTATTGTGGGAAGATGATGGTTATTTAGTTCTGCTCCCTGTAATTTAGAAAAATTTAGAACCTAATTTAACTGAGCACTGAAACAATACATCGCTCTTGAAAAACAAACTTTTTCTCTTACTGCAGGGAGGTAATGTTATTAATAGGGTCTTTCTGTATGTTACTTATTTTCTTTTTTTATTCACCTCTGCAACAAATTTTGTGGGATCATGGTCAAATAGCTCCATTTCCAATTTTGTACCAAAGTGTTACTATTTAGTCCCCTTTTTTTAACCCCAAAGGGACTATTTGTAATCCAAGTGCCTAGCAGCTGTATAGCTGTTTAATATTTTTTGGTATGTTAGTGTTTTTGTAAAACACAGAGACAAATATTCAGGTTTTGCATGAATTAGAAACATTTTGTGATTTTAGTTCTCTTTCCCAATTTTGCCAATTTACCTCAATTCGAATATGACAATGATGAGGAAAACCTATCACCTCCTGCTTGTTCCTGTTGATTATTGCTAAAGACAGCATAAATATTTACACTTTATTAAATTGAAGCTTGAAATTGATTAATACAAACCATCCTGTTAGCAGTTGCATTTTGTAGCAAAAACTTCTGGAATCTAAAAATGTACAAGTTGGTGAAGGGGTGAAGAGACAGGCACCCATATCTCTTGCATTGGATAGCTTTAGTGTTTGCATCCTTACCCTTTTTTTTCCCCTTCCTCTCTCAGGTCGCCAGCTCACGATCTTCAACACGCAGGCCACTATATCTATCGGGGGAAATGACCGGAAGCGACCCTACCAAGGCCAGCTCTCAGGCCTCTATTACAACGGGCTCAAGGTTCTCAACATGGCCGCCGAAGGCCACCCTAATATTAAAGTCAACGGCAGCGTGCGGCTTGTTGGAGACGTGCCCACCAGCCGTGGTGCGGCCCGCACCACCACTTCGATGCCACCAGAGATGTCAACCACCTTTATTGAGACCACCACCACACTGTCCACCACAACCACCCGCAAACAGCGCTCGCCACCATCTACTCAGGTATAACTCATTGGAATCTCCAAATTTGTTTGTGTTTATGTGGAAGCTGCTCTTTCTTTCATGTAGAATAGACCATATAAAAAGTTTGCAAGCTCCTTATTCAAAACCAAATGTCTGAATATTCATCTCATGTCTGTGCAGCAACAGCAGGTATTAGGATTTTACTCAAGAATTATTTTAAAATATGTTTTCTGAATCAGGTCTGGACCATCCAGGTCTTGAATTCAGACTAGTTTCAGACTAGAAAACATTGTGTTTTCATTATTTGCTGTTCATACAAGACTACCCACCTAAAAAAAAAATTTTACTGCCTTTACCTTTTCTATTTAGCTATATTCCAAATGTGTGGTAGGCATTGTTTTTCTTTTATATGTGATCCTCTGCAAATAGAGAAGCCTTTCCTCTTAGTGAAAGAAGCCACATTTTAAACAGATAAAGGTTCTGTTTTCTCTGTAATAAGGTTTAAAGGTGCCCCAAAGTGTAAGCACAAGAACTGTTTCCCTCTCTTTACTATTTAATGTGTTTTTTTGGAACTGACCGTGGTTTGGATTACGTCTGCCCTCCCTTCTTTCTCTGCTTGATCAGCCAAGGTCAGGACACTGTATTTCTCATTCTGCCAAGGATCGAAGTGCTGCTGTTCGACGAGCCGTGCCTTTTCTCCTTTCCTCCACCAATCACCCTTTTCCTCCACCACTATCTGTCATGCAACACATTTCCGTACCGAGTGAGGGCTTTCTCCAATACGTTCTGAGTCCGAGCCAATGAGTGTCACAACTGTGCCAAGAAAGCAATCACGCCCAGCAGTCCTTTGACACCCAGAGCACAAATTGAACCCTTCATTGTCTATATTAAAGCAATAACTCTCCCTCATGAGTGAGGCGTGCTGGTTGTAGAGGAAGGGTTTGGTTTTGGTCTTCTTCTACACCTCGATATTAGATTGTCTGCTGTGTAGTCATGATGACCCTTAATGTCGGTGCTTGACCCTTCTACCTCTGTATGGGAGTGAGGGTGGAAGATTCTAGGGTGAGGTGATCTGAAGATGGAAGACGAGCAACAGAAACAAAGCAATCCATTTCTATTTCCTTTATGAGTCAGCTATAATGACTTAGCCGAGATACATTACCGTCTCTGGCAGTAACAACAAGGTCACATCATAAAGAAAAGACTTGTCGTCTCAGGCGAATATTAATATCAAAAGAAGTCAATAAAGTTCTTCAGCTCGGAGATCTTTTTGACAACGCACTTGAATTTTCAAGGTGAAAAGATGAACAAATATCACTCCTGTCAATATCCATAATGCCACCATTACACCCTGAATAGGGCGCCTCAGTAACTTAATAACAATGTTGTTCCCCTCCCTCTGTAACCTTCTGTTTTGTGTTTGTATTCCTTTTGAGAACATGCCTTGGTCATTCTTCTCTCACAGGGTCATGTGACTGGCTTGCCTTTGATTCATGTTGTCGTGTCAGCATTTCATTTGCAGAGGCCTTTAATTTTACAGTTCCCTTGCTGGCTGTCAGACACTGTGGTACGAGCGGGAAGGAGAGGACCTGTACCCGTTTGGCAGATTTCCCCACCCCTCTGGGTAGTATAGGGGAGTTTAGGGAGTTGAGCTATCATTAGTGATGTACTGCTGCGCTGAAAAAGAGCTATAGGCGCCTGATGCGGTGTTGGACTCGAGCACAAAAGCAGCTGCTTCTAAAATGGGGGTGTCTGAGTGGACTAAAATATGTGTGTGTGTGCATGCATTTGGGTGTGTTCACAGATGTCTATTTTAGGTCCACTGAACTGACACTACCTGTTTCGCTCTCTGAGGTGAGAAGCGACGTGTCCCCTGACATCCCTGGCTCAACAGGACGAGAGGCAGGGGTGTGAAGTGGAGAGACCAATCTCACGCTTAATTAATGATGGCTCCATGGGGAGGAACATGCACTGACATGACAAACACCTTTCATTTTCTTTTTCATTCTCTCTTACTATCACTGTCTTACTTGGTAGAGACTTTGTGAGGAAGATCAATAATTTACTGAGGTTGTTTTAATTGCTCTTTAAAAGAGTAACTCAAAAGTTTAAGTTAAGTTACTATTTTTATACAAACAGATCCGTTCATGGACTTTTGCAATTGCAAGTAGGCAGACATGCAGGTTAAGACTCTATTACTGCTCATGTCAGGCTTATCCAAACTTGTCCATGCATTAGCACATAAAACTCAAGAAAATAATCAACAATTTCAGTGTTTTCTTTTATTCCGTATTCAATAATAAATACATATTTGGGAAGCATAAGAATAGTATCTAATAAGTTTCATCGCCGTCTTCATGAAACATCATGTTCACAATGAATAACAAAAGAGCGCACAGTTATTTGGATAATTCCTACATATAGCCATTAGTTAGACAGGCAGGAAAGAGCCTCAAAATTTTTATATAAATGCCCTGAGTTTTTCAACAAAATGTCATACATTATTACAACTTAGTATATGTTATGGTGATAATAATCATTAGCCTTTTTCTTTGTCAGCATATATTTTAATTATCCCTCGATTTTTTTTTTTTTTATTACTGGCTTATGTAGTAGTAGCCATTCAAAATGACCCCACGTTCCTTGATGGGTCCTTGGCTGGTCCCCTTTAATTCCTTTTTAAACATCAATCTTTTTTACTAAAATATTCTTTCTGTCATGATTTGTGAAGATTAAGATCTAAAAAGATGCATCATCTCCTGTTCAGACCCTGTAATTCAGTGAAAAAGGGTGGAGTCAGAGTAAAAAAATATGCAAGAGGGGGGCACTCCAGTGGCTGGAAGTTGGAGGAGATTTCTCTGGGAGTTTGAGGGAAGTGGGCTGCCCTTCTGCTGCCATTCGGCTGCTATTTGGCTGCCATTCGGCAGCTATTCGGCTGGGAAGGGCCATTTTGAATGGCTGCTACTGTATAGTTCTACTGGCTTTTTCCTTTCCAACAGTACAAAACACAATTATTTGTAGAAGTAATTAACTTAAATAAGTGTTCCTCTTCAAGTGCCTCCAAAGGCCCTTCAGATAATTTTTTTAGCTTGACCAAATCGACCAAAGTATATATTTTTTTTATTTATTTATTTTTTTTGACACTGGCAGATTTGATGTGGATAGTCAGATTGGGAATACTCATTTATGCAGAGTCCTCTATCATGGGAGATCAGCGTCTCTCGTTTGCAATTAACTCGCTGTGCTCGCGTGATGTTTGAGAACAATTAGAATGGGAGGGCTGCAATCTAGTGTACCATGGGGGGGGGGGGAGTGCCAAGGGAGACACACTGAAAGTGATTTGCATGTTTGCCATGTTAAAGAAATTGCTCGTGTCCATCATTTTCAACCGGTCCCCTTTGCTTAGGAGATGGGAAATGAGAAGCAAATTGTTTGTTGTATAATTGGGAGCTGCTCACGCTTGGATACGTTTTCAGAGATAAAGCTTTTATGTTGAATCAGCATGGAGAAGTCTGTTGTTCTGTTCTAATTATCTATTTTTTTGTTTGTTTGTTTTTGTAAGCAGAGTACCTTGAAAACTGTAACTGATTTTTGTCAGCTTTCTATATTTTGGAACAGTAGTGTGCAGCCTGTAGCTCCAAGGCGGTATGTTGTACTCACAAATTCCACATGTGGTCCACTTTAAAGGACCAAACAAAGTTTTTTTCTGGCCCTGAGCTTTTACATAGATGTATAAAGATCAACGAACCCTGGTCTGTACCAAACAACCAGACCAAGACCCACTTTTTGATGTGGTCTCAGTTCATTTCAGAATAGACTCTGGCACAGTTCGCTACATATCTAAAAACAATCCTGCTTCTCTGAACTAAATAATGCTGTTTTACTTTCTGTTGCTCAGCAAAGCTGCTGCCTTCAGGCTTGTTGGACACATTCTCTGACTCTGTCGCAAAATTAAAGACAAAATCTCATATCTACATTGAACAAGCTGCTATTGACATATGCAATATTTTTACAACTGTAATAACAACTTAAACATGCAAAACAGAGGTGTTGCATGTAGGAATTTCATAGTCTGCTCTTGATATGAGCCAAACAAGTCGAAAAAGAACTTTTCTGGTGTAAATATATCATTAAGTCAACATTTATACCCAAGTGAGAATCAGTGGCATGATGTGAAAATTGATATTTGGATGCTATGCATCCAATTTGATTCAGCTTTTTTTTTATATATATATATTTTTGGAAAAGTATGTTAAAGAATGTCAAAAGCTATCAAAGATGTAACCTATAAAATTTGCACTAGAAGTACAGCAAAGCTGTGATACAGCACATATTGACTCTCCTTGGCTAAATTCATACAATGATACCCTTGCTTCACTTTTCAAAACTGTATTTAAAAGATAAACTGAAAACTCTTGATAGTGTATTTTTTTATCCACTGATTTAAGCAGCACTAAAATGCCCATTTTAGAGTTTTAGAACTCAAATGTTCAGACATGCAAACCAGTTTGATTCTGCCCATTAAAACAGCCATACAAAAAAGATGAGGTTCATAGCCATTGGGATTAAGGTATTATTGAAAATTATAAATATTCACAGGGCACTATTGTAGTTTATCTCAAACTTCTAGACACAAAATTAGAATTAAATAAATTGCTCAAAACATTAAATTATTAAATTAATGAATAAAAAAGTCACAGTTGCAATCTGCCCTAAAACCCCTCAGCCCCAAGTCTCTTTGCAGACTCCTTTTTTTTAATATCTACAGTACATGCCCTTATATTTAAGATTCGTTTTTTGTTTATTTGATTGTATAAAGATATCCTGCATCATCACACTGCACTGATGTGTGCCAGCCTGTAGAGATGTTTTTTTCTTTGGTAATATTTTTCCACTATTTTTCTTTTGATGGGCCAATTATGTTTACATGCACACATAATTACTCTCCATCATCTAGAGTTTTACCAATGCCTCCTATTGAAAAGACAATGATTGCAGATATTTTTGCTGGTCAGTTTGCACCTGACTTTCAGACAAAA